ACCCTGCAGCATCCAGATCAGCACTTAGAGTGCTCAGTACGGGAACCAATATCCAGCCAAGAACTCGCTCCGCTTCCTGGGTTAGGAACTGAGAGATTCTCTGTAATGAATTCTCTTTGATAATCCTATCCCATTTTATACTGATCTGCATCAATTCAGACGCTTGTCAGTGCTGACGTCCCCTCAAGTTGTGCCCTTTCCTAGAAAAAGGCCACACTGAATCAAAGCTGGCATCTTTCAGGGTACTTCAAAGATCTTGAAAGTGAAATAGATGTTTCACCACCGCCATGGTCCTACTCTGTTAATGAACTTCAGCATGATCATTGTCTAGCAATGTTTTTTACATGTACAGCAACTTAAAACACCCCAATTGGTTTTCCAGCTTTTTATGAGAAGTCAGAAATATGACTGATCCTTTCTGTAAGCCAATGAGAACTGGAGACGTGGCTTCCACTTTGGGTCATTTTATTTCACCGTCAGCATTAGTGGCTCATGAGAACAATACAAAAGTCATGTACAGTTAGGTCCATTGAAGTTCAGACTCACTGCTGAAGTACATGAAGTTAAAGCATATGTAAATACTGATGCAAAAAGCAGTGTCTTGCAAGACAATTTATCTATTTAACATGTATTGGTACTTTATTTAGATTCAATGTATAAAGCAACTTTGTGCACTTTTCCTACATACAGTATTGGGGGGTTTTATGTTCTTTTGTTATGGATTTTGTGCTGTCTTTTTTAATCAGTGAAATTGTTAAGTATTTAATTTATTATTGATGTGCCCAGAGGACTAGTGCAATTTTTATTCAATACAGTTTGTCTGTATTTAATGTCAGGATTTTTTTTTGTAGCATTGTTAGGGAATTTTTTTCAAAACCTGCCTTTTTTCCCCCCACAATTTTCCTTTCTTGCCCCCCCCTTTTCTATTTTCATTATACAGATCATAAGGCATTAAATGCCTCTAGTTTGAAATATAATCAAACACTTTAGTACATCCTGCAGTTTCTAAAACAAAAAGGTTCTCCAGGAAAAAAATGCTAAGGAGGCACTTCTCAATGTTTTCTGTGTTTATTTGCTTTTTTTTTTGATTGGGGTGTATGTGTGTGTGCGTGTGTGTGCTTAGAAGTTTGGAGGGGAGAGCGGGGAAGTTGTACAGAAAGTTTGTTTTGAGCAAAGTAAGTGGCCAAGCAGGCTGCAGGGAAGACTAGCTATGAACACTTTCTTTTTTCCTTCTTCAAATACAGCTGTGTTTGTGTTGTACAATCTTGTTTGAAATATCTAATGCCAAAACTACTCTCTTTTCATTCTTCCTTTCTTTTCAAAGAGTGCGTATGCTATCTATATGACAGTAACTTGGTTGCAACCACAGTTAACATGAGGAGATTTGCCTTTGTCTAGAAAGCAACATGCCAGGCATTGTCAAAACACAAACGGACCCAAACCATTGCCTCAGCCATGCAGATTCTGTCATCTTTTGAGTTTTTTGAGATCTGGGTGAATATTTATATACCTGTCTTAGCTTTTGTTTGACTCGACCCAAACCCTGTAACCGAGTGCCTGGACAGGTAGTCTAGGTTTGAATCTTGGGGTCTGCCACATGTCTCTGATTCCAAATGGGATGACTTCAGGTTCCTGGCAAGTTGAAATGATACCCTCTGTGTTCCCTCTCCACATGTCATCCAGGGAAGCCTCAGGTTATTTTAATATTGTTGCCTCTGAGATGGTCTCTGCAATGTGAAGTTTCTTTGAGCAGTCTCGAGGAAAAACATGGAATGGGAAGGATTCGTGTCTTTAAAGACACAGATTTGGCAAGCCGAGACTGTGATCAGCATAAAATAGATCAGTAACATCTCAGACCAGCAAAAATGGCCGTTATTTATGCAAGAGAAAAACAGGACCTCCTAAAGAAATGCACTGATTAACTTACGGTCCAGTGGCCACAACACAGCTGCTGTCTACTGCTAAACTTCTGTGTTGTTCCTGTGCTGCTCGACTGTCCCTGAACCCACTGCTCTCTCCTCACTGCCCGAGCATTATTGCTTTCAACCAAAGACAAAACAGGATGAAGGGATTACACGTGATATTAAACCGTTGGTTAGCTGATGACAGGCGCCTGCGTGAGCGCGCCTGTGTGTGAGTGTGTGGTGCTGTTGCATGGGGAAGGGGGCGTGGGGAAGAAGGGACTGAGCGGGAGAAGGGAGAGCGAGAGTTCTGAAGAAACAAGATTTTTTTGATGTTCCGAAATACAGAGTGCTGTTTCCATAGGAATGTGATTCGTATCAGTCTGCCTGCTGGTTCCTCAGCCTTGTAGGGAATTTGGGCTGGGGTACATCCCTTCTGAGCTGTGTACCCAGCCACGGTGTTAGTGGGAAGATAGGGCAGCTGAATAGTTATGGGGAGGGAATGGGGGACAGAAGCGGGGGTAGTAGCCAAGATAGTTTCCAAGGCACGGGGAAGACCACGTGTGTTTCTGGTGCAGCAGTTGAGATGGCTAGAGAGGCTAGCTGAAGTAGGAGCATTTGCTCCACAAGCACATCTCGGCGCTGAGCACCGCCCTCAGTGAGGGCCACGAAGGAGCACGTTTAGTTTGTACGTCCTTGTGCTCCAAGAGGTGACGTATGGGGAGTGGCCGGGCGGATGCCTTCAGGTTATCAACGGATCTGTAGACCCGGCTCAGTTGTCTTCCATCCATCGTGTCCCTCCAACAGCACACGAATGTTAGTGTGGAT